GGTGAGCTCGAGGACCAATCAGAGAACAACGTGGTCATCAAATCATTCGGTGCTGCGCGAAAAGAAAACTGACATCTCCATGAAGCTCTTCATCAGATGGAAGCTGACGGCTGTGTAGATGACAGATGACATCATTCCTGGTAATATGCTTCCATACAGGCATGAAACATTACATGTAATGAATACAGAATATGTGAAGATTTTCCCCATTTGAATCATGAAAAAATAAACTTTTTAATAATATTCTAATTTTTTGAGATGCACGGGTATAACGCAGTCTACTAAAACCTTCATCTACAAACTTCTGGAACACATTTTCCTCAAAGAACCTTTAAAGAAATTTAAAAAGGCAGAAAAAGTGTGATAATAATAAAAATATAATTAAAGACAGAAATCTCTCTTCATAACAAACAGAATTAAGGATATTTGACTCTCAGTGTGCAGAACAGCTGCTGAAGATGAGGTTCAGTCTTCACCCGCCTCCATAACTTTATCTAAATGTGCTGTGAGACACTCAGAGGAGGTACACTGTGTAGCTTAGATAAGACCTCAGTGAGCTAAACATTACTGAACAGATGGCTGCAGGGTAGGAGGGTAGAGAACCTCTCACAGACTTCCTCCTCTGAAAAATCAGATCAAACAACATCTGCATCTAAGCGTCGCTCCCGGCCTGATGAATAGATGACGTATATTTCTATATATTTACAGCAACAAGAATATTTTATACTCCTCAAAGCCCCAAAACTCTGCAAACAACAAAGTAATAAAGTGAAAGCAGCAGCAAAACAGTAAGTTAGTCGCCTCCAGCTATAAAAGCTCCAGAGGGGAAGTGATCAGTTACAGGTAGTATTTGTGTTTGTGTAGAGCTGAAATAAATTTAGCTTCGACTTTTGAACTTCAACACGCGAACATGTTTGAAAGTCACTTCAGTCAGGCTCGAGCTGTACACGTCAATAAATGAGCAGCCTAAAGAAATATTCCTCCCTTCATGCATGACTGAGATCAACGGGCTTCCCTTTGTGACGGCGCGACTGAAGCTTCAGCTAAAATAAAGAACCACGTGTAAATCCAACACAGGCTTAAAGTCCAGTTTGCATTTTGTTGCTACAGACTTAAACTTTAATGGTGTAACTGTGGTTTGTGCTGGATGTTTCAAAGCTTTTATTTTGTAGGGTGTTTGCTGATGTTTGCTGAGCTTCAGTTTGAGGCCAGCAGGTGTTTTACACTCTGAGCCCAGTGATCTGCAGACCATGCAAGAGCACAGTTTATTATTTATTATCATTTATACCAAATGGAAAAGCCCGGGCATGAAATGCAGGTTATTCCAGAGATGGAATAAACATGTTAAGGCCATCCACCCATTTTTTGCTGCCTACCTGGGTCTAAGCTGAGTTCAGTCACCTCCTCAAGCTCCTCTGGTTCTGCCCCGAGGCCTCCTCCCAGCTGTTTAAAGCCTGGTACAAAGTTATCTTGCCCTCTATTAATATTTCCCCCTTCATATCAATTGTACTCCATATAACTCCCTTCATTAGATTTTACAAAGTCCCAAAGTTAGGATGTGTCTCCCTAAACTGACGGTACTGACTGTAGCTTACAGGCCTCACATCATCTGAGTGAACTGTGTTTATGAAGCATTTTTAATGGAAGCATCAGAGAATTAAATAATTTATCGTATCTTCAATTATTAGTCTGTTATGAGTCTAACTAGCAGAAATCTGTGCCTATTTATATATACGGTTTCCTCGTGTATGGTGTGTTCCATAGTCAGTAGTTGGAGTAGCTAGAACATGCCATGGTGGCTGTGTCCATCTTCTACATACAGTCTATATGCTACACGTGGCTCTTTGTTTTCTCGGAGCTGAATCCTCAGGCTGGGCTTCAAACTGGTGCCAGCAGCATCATCTGAAACAACATGGCAGTGCTGAGTTTGGTCTGTTTTGTGGGTCTGAGGCAGGAAAGACTGCAGGGCTGCTGCTGCTGTGAGGAAAGTTTGAAAAAACACAAATCTGCATTTTTCTTGGTTCAAACAAACGTTTAGCGTCTGATTAAGTCAGCTGAGAGTTTCATGAACCCCGGAGCTTTAAAAATAACAAATATTTTTTTCAGGTTCAATTTGTTTTTGCAGATTTATGTTTTTTACTCCAATCGTAGCAAATATATCACAAAACAATACTGCAGAAAGTCACAGCAATTCAGAACAGCCATTTTTCTACTCTACTGAGACTACAATGTCCCCACAGAAGGTAACGGTTAGAGAAGCGCTGTCTTTTAGTTTTTGGTTTCCTCCGGACGCACGCGCATATTCTTCACTCAGAATAAACTAATCGTCTCAGGCGTTTTAAACAAATACTCCGAGACAGAAGGTCCGCTTCTACCAGGCCACGATTCAGAGTATTGTGAACTGCGGACAACAACAAGTTTCACACGTTTGTCTCAGAAACGCCACAGCAGATGAGTGGAAGTCAAAGTCTCGTTTCCCTGGAGGTCCTTCAGGTTGTGCGTGTCCAACGGGAGCCTCGCCTGTTTTTTACTCGACCTCTGTTTGAAGCCTGTCGGCAGTTAAAAGAGTTTCAGAGTTTCTCACTGAGCTTCTTCTTCTTTTCAGAGCAGCAGCAGGAACCAGCAGCTGTTTGCTTGGAAAGAGGCGCCCGTTGGATTCGGCACACATTTTGGTTTAAGTCACGCTACTTTCATTGGCACTGACCTCGCACACGTCTTCCTCACACGCACCCCGACCCAACCCCAGACCGCCAAACATCACAGATCCCTGACCCTGGCTCTGGGAGATCGCCCCGAGGAGCGCCCCTGCAGCAGCGGCCATGTTGTTGCTCAGAGCGGCACTGCTGCTGTTACTCATGCTGCTGTTACCGCCGCCACTTCCTGCGGCTGAGAGGCCGCCGTGCTGTGGGGACAACACTGACGTTCCTCCCCTCGCGCCACCTCCCAGGACGCCTCCCTGCCCACCCTCACCTGCAGACAGGAGGAGGTGAGGGGAGGAAATCAGATCTGGACCATCCTCGCCTCCTCCTCCACCTCTCCTCCCTCCGTCGCTGCCGCTTCCACCTTCGCCGCTCTCTCCCAGCCCGCTGCGCCTCTCGCAGTGCGAGCGGTGCCTCATGAAGCTGTCGCGCCACATGAACTTCTTGCCGCAGCCGAGGCAGTCGTACGGCTTCAGGCCCGTGTGCGTCTTCATGTGCTCGGTGAGGTGATGCTTCATCTTGAACTTCTTGGCGCAGACGGGGCAGTGGAAGGGCCGCAGGTCCAGGTGCATGTTAATGTGGCGGTCCCTCATGCTCTTGTGGGTGAACGTCTTCCCGCAGTGACACATGAACACTTTCCCTGAACCCCCAGAGCCGCCGCCACTGTTGCCGCCTCCGCCTCCGATTCCTCCGCTCTCTGCGCCATCCACCCCCAAACCACCCTGCACCGACAGGTGGACCGCACCGTGCTCCATACTGGGACCTTTGAAGGACGACCCTCCGATCATACCGCCTGCCATCCCCAGAGGCGGCGCGCTAGCATCCAGCGGGAGTCCGGAGGCCTGGCTGTACAGCAGGATCTGGTTTCCCTGCATGTCCAGTGGGAAGAGCTGAGCCCGGGCCGAGGCTGCAGACTGAACCTGACCCAGCAGCGCCGAAACCGCCCGGTTAGCGTTCTGGTTCTGACCTGCAGCGCCGTCGTGAAGGTGTTGCGCTAAAGTTTGGTCCATGAGACTTCCTTCAAACTTGAGGTAGTCCTCTGAAGACTGGCAGTAGTCGACCTACACACAGGGAAACATATTAGAGGTTACGATTATATAAAAATATCTATCAATCAAGTTTATTTGTAGAGCAGATGCACAAATCAAGAAGGTTTTCAGTTAAAAATTATGTTTTTTACACATTCTGGTTGCTGTAACTTATTTCAACTAAAGATAGAAATTTCTAAGTTAGAAATTCTTTGTGTGACGTTTTAGCGCCCTCTACTGGTCATATGCAAAACCACCACAGCACCAGCTTACAACAGGTCTGCGTCATTATTTCTACAAAGCAAACCTCCCCTCAGCTACTGTCAGGATAATTAAAGCTGTAATCTGATTACACTACAGTTCCAGCTCACCTGTGACTCCATATCGTTCTCCGCTCTGCCCCCGAGCTCGCCTGAAAGGCTCCTGACGTTTGAGATGTTGAAGTTGCTCCTTTCCCGCTCTCGTGCCAGCTCCATCTCCCTCTCATCCTCGTCCTCCTCGTCTTCTCCTCCTTCCTCCCCGGAGACCACGATCAGGTCGTCGTCCTCTGTCCGTTCGGTTTTCACCACCACCCACTGCTTGCGAGGCATGATGCTGGGCTGGCTGTAGGTGGGACGCTTCTGCAGCGGCAACGCAGAGTCCTCTCCGTCCTTTTATTGAGATATTTCACATTATGTACAGAAAACACAGGATACAAACAAACAAACTGTAAACACTAACTCGATTATTAAAGTTCAACTTTTCTTTCAAAATAAAAGCTCTTCATACAAATTAAAGGTCGACTATCTTCAGGTTGCTCAGACCTCACCTGATAGGATGAAACCCCAAAGCTGTCGCTGACCCCGACCTCCTGCTCTGACACTGAGCTCATCTTCTTCCTCCTCCCGCTGCCTCCTCCTCCTGTGCTTCCTCGTTTCCTTTGATGGTACAGCACCTCCTCCTCTTCCTCCTCGGCTTCCTCTTCCTCCTCAATAAGGAAGGCTTCTTCGCCTCCTGATGGAGTGCAGTAGCTGGGGGTGTTGTTAGCCCCGCCTCCATCCCCAGAAGCTCCCGTTGCAGCCGCGCCACCTCCCCCAAAGCTGCTCCCGTCCCTGGGGCTGAAGTAGTTGGTGCTGCTGGGTGATTGGCTCTCGCTCACCGACGGGCGGCTGGGAGGCTGGGAGGCTCGCGGGGGCTCGTTAGACTCAACAACCTGGACTTGACCAACACTTCCAGCACCAGCAGCTCCATTACCACCACCTGCTCCACCGTCACCATTGCTGCTGCTACAGCCAGAGTTGGCTGATCCTCCAGCTCCACTTATTCCATCCTGCACAGCCCCACCTCCTCCACCTCCTCCGCTCCCTCCTGCCGCCGCGGCTCGGCCCTCCTTCAGTAGCTCCGTGCATTTGTCCACAATGTGCCACATCTGCAGGACGCTGCCCACTGTGAGGTAGTTGACGATGTCATCGCGGAGCATCTGGAGCTGACCCGTGTAGGCGCAGCTCAGCACGCTCTCAAACGCCAGCGGGTCCATCACTGCCGGGATGGAGACCGTGGACATGTTCTTCAGTAGTACCTGGAGGCGGATGGAGATCACAACATCACAGTAATGAAGCTTTTTCATTTTGTAACGATCCCTCCTGCCTCCTCCTCCTCCTCTCCCTCATCACACTGCAACATTACCCACATGGTCAGCGTCCAGCTCCAAGTGATTTTCTGGTGTACACAGACAGCAAATCTGTCTGCCAGCCCCTCAGACAGGTAACAGGGGTCTGATGAAACCTCCCACCAGTTTCACTAAGCAGATATTTGGCAGATGACTGAGGCTCTCTCGAAAACCAATTATTACAGCATAAAAAAGCACAAGTAAAGTGTTTGTGTGAGGCTGCTGTCACACAGTAGGTCTTTATTATCTTCTAACTCTGAGCTCCCATATAATTAACCTGCGTGACTGTTCACATCTATTCTGTCTCGCCTCGTTTATTCTGTTTTTCTGAGGTAGAAATAAGAAGCGGCAGATGGCTTCAAACCCAGATTCACATTTTATGTCTCCGGCGTGTCAAAGACACAGATCTTGTGTTAGCAGAAACTGGGAGAAAATGCAAACAAGCTGCTGATTACACAACCGACTGAAAATATCTGTAAGACCAACTAATCCTGTCACCTGTCTGTCTTTCTATAGGCAATCTAATGTTCTAAAGTTTTGCTCAGGCACAAACTGCAACAGCTATTCTTGTCTGACGCTAATAAAGATCCAAGGCTGAGTGAGAGTCAGTGTGTTCATCCACCTGGTCGTGGAAGTAAGGCGAGGACGCAGCCAGGACGCAGCGGTGGGCCTTGAACACTTGCCCCTGGACATGGATGGAGAGGTCGCAGAGGCTGCCGTCCTCTCTCTGCCGGTTCAGGCTGTCCAGCACCGAGGTCTGAGCGCCGGGGAAGCAAACCTGAACCACTGAGCCGCTGCCGCTGCTGCTTCCCACCTCCATGGGCACAGACTGCATCTGTGAGGAAGAAAAACCTTCATGACTCCCACAGCCGGAGGTTAAACTCTGACTTTAGATTCATGGCAGTCCTTCCTGGTTTGTTACTGCTGACTGGCAGGTTGTGGCTTTAAATCTGAGGCTTTAAATTACATGAACAGTGAATCTATTCAAGTATGGAGGAAGCTCTTTGAATGGGTCACATGACTGCACCTCTCAGGTAATTAGGTATCAAATAAAATATCATGTTAAGAAAAACGGCTGTTTTATTTATAAAAACAACCGTGACCGCAGTTTGCAGTTTATTGGGTTACTGGGTTGTTGGAACTAGAGCCCTGCAACAAATCTCCACCTCGCTCACGGCAGAGGGTTCAGATCTTTCTATAAAACGTTTGCAGCTGTGCTGAAACAATCAACAGTTATTTTCCATTTAAACAAATCTTTTTTTTTTAAATTTAGTTTCTTTCATTTTAATAAATATATAAAGAGAAGAGATTGAAACTTCAAATAATTACAAAAAAAATACAGAAAAGCTGAAAATCCTCAGAGTGGAAACATAATTTTAGCTGTCTCTTTAAAATTACACAAAATTAATGATTAAATAATCGTTACTGATGTAATTTCTGTCAATCAGCTAATCAACTAATCGCCGAATCTCTGATTAAATTTATGATAATTTTAGAGGTGAAGGGCTTTAAAGTCAACTATGCTGGATTTCAAACAAAGTGCATCACAGAGGAATGTGACTGTAGGCAATATAAATGTAAACTTGAAGATATTTATCAGTAATTAAGGTAAACTAAGTAACATGTGATAAAACTTGTAACCTTTATAAAAGTTTTGGTAAACATATTTATGGAAAATTTAAGGAATGACTGCAGACTCACTGATGGTGCTTATACAGCTCAGAGTAACGCTGGTGCAGTCTTACATCATCACCTACACCTGTCAGTCTTTTCTGATGTAATGATATGCAGGCAGGTTATTTAAATAATAGCTATAAATTTAATGGTGACGCACTTTCTTTGAACATCAGAAGTAATATTTTCCTTTAATCTGACCTTTTCATTCCAAAATTAATTACATTTAAATAAATTAAATGGAAAAAAATATCTCAAAGCTATGTGTTTCAGTTAAAATGGTTTAAGTTTATATATATAATTATGTTGAACTCATTGATGATGACAGAGGCAGAGAAACTGACTTCATTAGAGATGTTAATGCTCAGAAAGGATTTGAATTTTACCTCAGAAACACTGGAAATCTGTCCCGTCATTAAGGAAGCAGATAGCCTCAGTTAGAGGACAGTGACAGCCTGTCTGTGAGCCTGACATCACTGACAGGCTGCACATCACACACAAACTAAACTTTATTAATCCCAAAAGTTACAGCAGCCAAAAACCATCAACACAACCTCTGACAGAAGAGCTGCAACCAGAACAGCTCAGTAACATAAACACGATTAAAACCAAAACCAGAACAAGTTAAAAACACACAAAAAAAATCAAAAAGTGAAATAAAAATAAATACTAGAGTTCAATAACAAACCTAAACGCCCAGTTATAATCAGCTGCTCAGTTTATGCTGCACATCAAATATTTACTGTAGTTATGACAGCTGACATCATCGGTGTCAGTCTGAACTTCACATTAAACTGGAGCAGCACATCTGTGCAGAGCCTCCTTCATTAAACTCATTAATTAATCATCAGAAACCCGCACAGTCCACGCCGGACATAACCGGCAGACTTTATGGGAGAAAAAAAGGAAAAAAAAAATCAACAGCTGGACTGCACACTTTAACTTTACCGCTACAAAAGCGAAGCTGCTGGTTGGAAATGCAGCTGTGCTCGCGGTGCAGATGTTTTTTCCCCGGTGGCGGTGTTCTCCGTTCAGACGGACAAACGGCGGCATCTGGAAAACCGTCAGAGCTCCGGTCTCCAATCACAGCCGCACAGATGTGACGTTAGCCTGCTAGCTAGCCCCGTCGAGCCGCCGCCGACGTTAAACTCACCGTTTTCAGTTGACACCTGAGCCCGTTACAGTCCGGCCTCTGACCGAGCGGAGGGCGGCGGGTCCTGCCGGTTCATCCAGGCCCTGAAGTTTGGGGAGCATTTTTGAGAAAAAGCTCCTCGCAGCTGATCTCCGCAGCAGCAGACAGCCACACGTCGCCTTTAAGAGCGACCCAGACAGACGAGCCAGACTTTGGCCGACACAAAATAAACTCTAAAAAAAACCCTGAAAACACTCAAACATGCTGCTCATACATCACTGCTGCTGAAAACTACCGTGTTACAAACAAACAACTAAATCTGACTGCAGGCTGGGTTTAAACTGTAACTATTTAAATACAACACAGAAGAAACTTTAAAAACATTAAGGTTCATTTGAAAGAAAATAAGAATATGAAGTTCAAATTTACATTTTGTACTGCACACCGAGGAAACCTTAGCCCTTACATATACTTCTGTCGTGCCTTCACAGTATGGACCAGGACACGAATTAGATCATGATTTAAAATTGATAATTTAATATTTAAAATGTATAAATAGCTCACCTATCTAATAAATGGATGATTAATCATATATAACTTTGTATAATCATTACAAACGTTATACATCATTAAAAAAAATCCTCATAGTTAACATTTACAAATATTAATACTGAAGATTACAAAGATCAACATTAAGACCAGTCTGTGCATTCAAAGCAGATAGAAAAGAGTGTGGGGCATTTCCCACACTCACTGAAATGGCATCCAAGATGCCTTCATAACTTTAAGAAAAGGAAAGAAAAAAGGCAATAAAATGCAACAGCCTTTAAATTTGGTTTTATTTGTAAAGTAGATGTCATATCATACATGTTAAATAAACATTTAATTCCAACAATACATACTAATGATATGGCATCCAAGGAAATGGGTAAAAGAAAACTAAAAATCAGTAAGTGATGTAGACTTGTAAAATAGCCATTATATACAGTATATACACAAACATAATCTAACCTTGGTGAAAACACTCAATGTTACTGTCATTCAATTCCATCAGCAGGTAAACACAAGAGTTACATTAAAAACGGACTAATGTCTGAGTTTACCTCAAAACAAAACAACCCCAAAAAACAGCCCACTTAAAACTCTTAAATGTGTTAAATCTGGAGTGAAAATTTTTTTCTTGAAATGCACGGCAACTCCTTTTGTGGTGAAGCTAGCATTACTACACACAAGTACAGATATATGGAAGGTTTGAAGCATATTAGATTCATACAAGTTGTTTGAAGTACTAATTAGAAGAAATGACATTTTGAACCTGAGATGAACCTAAAAAGTAGAAAACTCAGGATTTTTAAAAAAAAAAAAAAAAATTTCTACTTTTTATTTGCAGTTGCTGTCCCGATGACGCAGTCGTTCACCTGCGGGGGAGAAAACAAAACAAAATTGTCAAAAATGTTAAAGTCACAGTGAAACTTCAAATCCTTGTACACTTCAGTGGTATTTATACTGTAAACCTAATCCCTATGCTGTAAACTGGCATGCAACTCTAGGAATCACTCATTTCATCCACTTTTGCCACCATTTTCCACATTAATTAGAAGAAGAAAAAATGAAATAAATGAATCGATTAGCTCAAAGAAATTCCACTGCAGACGAGTGTTTGTGGTTAAACTGCAAAGCAAGCCACGCACATGGTGCAGGCCACTTCTGTGGGCTCTATCAGGGATTTATGTGACTAGTCGACTAATTGTCACTAGTCTGTATCAGACTTACCAGTCATTCAATCTAATTGTTAAAATTTTAAATTGATGCCCAATGCTGGTACATTGTGTTCTAAATGTTAGGCAGCGACCTGCCACCAGATGGCGCACTGTTGTTGAGAAACACCATAAATCTATTAATCTACCCTGATCTTCTTGTTAACACTGAGATCGCAGATACACGCAGAGGAAATTAGTTTTCTCAAAGGTGGAAAACCTCTCCTTTAGGAGAGCAGTTAAGTCAATGGGGGAGGGGCTCAGAGTAGAGTCACTACTCCTTCACATCAAAAGGTGACAGCCACCTGGGCAAGGTGTTCTGGGCACGTCCTACCAGGAGGAGGCCCCAGCATCCTTGGTCATGCTAGCCAGTTTACATCTATCAGCTGTGGTCAGGAGTGGTCCTTCCTGCTGCCCCCACAACCTGACTAGAAAACGGCTGTATAATGTATTACTTTGTTACTAAATTTCTGCTTTTATTGAAAAGGTTGTCATTAATTTTCAGCAGCCTGAATCATTCGCGCCACACTCAGTCGTACTTTTAGATTCTCAAATGATTGTCATATTTTAATAGAACTTCTTTTGTAGTAACGCATTTTCATTTGTATTTAACAGAATGTGATAATTGTTTAAGATACCTCTGCGTCTAGTTTGACAGTTTCTATTAATCAGTTCTGAAAATTAACTCAATATCTGAATGTTCCTTAGTTTTACTTTAGTTGGTTAGTCTAATTATTTCCCCCTCGATTAGTCGACTAGTAAATAAGACGCCAGGAACATCCCTACTCTTCAGACAAAACGTGAGTATGAATTACACACCAAGGTATTAAAATGGATATGGAGTATGGCTTTGGTTTACCATAAACAGCTAATGTAAGGACATCATTAATGTACTCTGTCCAATGAACACTGGAAACAAGACTGCACTGACCTTACTGGCAAACCTCAGTGAGTTTAGAGTTTCCCCAAAGCTGTCGGGCTCCGGGGCGATGTTAACAAACATCAAGCTGCAGATAAAGACATCCAAAATTAGCGCCAAAGAATAAACAGTCACAATCTGAAGTGATGAGATCTGAAACTCTCAGCTACCGGTAAATATTTATTGGGGATAAATTCCTTCAGTTTTATGTATCGTCATTATAAAGATTTGTGATGTCAACAAACTTACGTTTTGCTGTTTCCCCCCAAACATCCCTGCAGGAGGTAGGTGAGCTTCGAGTTCCTGTAGGGAACGTAACTCTCCTGAAACACAAAGGCCAAAACATCATTAATACTGTAAACGTAAAGAAAGCAGGTGTGACATCTAAGGCTACAGAAACTGCAGCTGCAGACCTTGTTGGCCAGAGCGGCGATAACGATGCCCAGGTTGGACAGTGAGCCGTTGATGGCGGTCATCTCTTTGAAACGGTCACCCTGAGACTGGCTCTTCACCATTCGCTCACTGCCAGCCAAGTCCACCAGGCACAGAGTGGCTACATCAGAGCAGATTTTGCACTGGTTACAGTAACAATAACTAACCAGACTCAATATTATAGATCCAAAAAGAAGAAACCACATTCCTGATGCTGGTACTTCCAGTAGGATTATACTCACATTTGCACTTGGCATCCCTGCCGGCATTGACTCCCTCAATATCCAGCTGGAAGACTGAGTGGGAGCGAGACGAGCGGTCATTCTGGGCTGTCTGGGCAGTGGAGCGATTCTGATTGGCCAAAGCAATCAGACCGAGAACCTGAGAGGACGTTTTAAAACATATAGAGCATCGATAAAGTTTGGTAACAATTTGTCAGCCGATTTGAAATTAATTTTGTTCTGAGCTACAGATGTCTGTCTGCTGTACCTGATCCTCATTGGAGACCCGCTCATAGGTGAGATTAGTGATTGTCACTTCGTTGCTGGTTGTCTTGCGGATCTCATGCTCCGGTCTCTTGCTGGACTTGCCGGTGTACAGAAGGTCCCTCAGTGTCTCATTGTAAATTTCAACAAAGCTCGCTGTGAACGTGAACTGAAATAAAAACTAAAATGAGCACATTCCCTCAAACGCACCGCGAGGGCACACAGCAGACTGCAGTGTGAAAGCCCTCTGACGCTGAGGAGCAGAAGCAATTTAACACTAATGTGAGACTTTTGTGGATAAAAGAAGAAAAGCACAACATTAACAGTGCGGCAGATTAATCATAAAAGCTCCACTCATCTGTATGCTCAAAATCATCTTTGGTGCTTAAGGAAATATGGCCGACTGTGGTAGAAAAGCAGTCTGGTCTTAGATGAACAACCTGTAACACTTACTACTCAAGTCTTTCAGATAGTCTGCAGTTTAAAAGCTGCTGCTCTACCACCGTGTAAAGCTGCTACCACTGACCTTCTCTTCAGACATTCAAACACAAACCAAACCAACCTCCCAGCCTTGTTCTCCCAGTTTCCCTGCAGCTTTAAAGATCTGTTGCACAGCTCTGGGAATGACACCTCTGGTCTCGTCAACCTCGTCCCCCTCCATGGTGTACGTCTTCCCGCTGCCGGTCTGACCGTAGGCAAAGCAGCAGACATTGTAGCCGTCCAGTGCTGACTGCACCAGCAGTGAGATCTCCTCAAAGACCTGAAGATAAAGACAAATTTATACATTTCCTCCACGCACAGGCGGGGACCACAAAAGGAAAAACAGTTTATTCTTTGATATACTGTAAAATGTGATATTCACCTCCTGCTGGGAGGCCCGAGGACCAAACACACGGTCGAAGCTGAAGTTGTAATTCTTCTGAGTGTCAGCAGTTTTGCCCGTGTGAGACTGAAAAGCACAAAACTCAGTTCAGTTGGTTGTTTGTGCTTCCTCTTTGGGTTAGGGTTCATCTACGCTGACACTGAATTACACGTGTTAACTCACACAGAACTCAAATTCTCTACAGCCAACAGTTTCTTTAAACATGCGTTAAGTGGTCCTCATTCTTACCTCCTCGGTTTTAGCCAGCGTTATCGCTTTGTTGTCACTTGTGGCGAGTTGCACATGCTTGGGAAGACCTCCACCTACCAGAGGACGCACTCTGCAGAACACTCTGATATTACCCTGCAAGAGATACAAGAGTGAGACTGAAACTTAATATTTTATTGGTTGCAGCAAAATCCGAAGGATGATTAGACAAATGTGACCAGCACACGCCAAAAATAACCAAAGAACAGAGAAAACATTCACATTTTGTTATCATAGTCAGTATTGGATTTAAAGAACAATTTGTGCACATGAAGAGGCACTTTTATTAGTAACAGAAGCAAACTTGCCTTGAGCTCTTGTATGGTGTTGTGGAGCCGTCTGCGCTCCATCTCTCCAGCGTAAATTTCATCCTTCTGCTGGGCCACAGTTTCTTTCAGAGACCGAACCTCCTCCTCGGAGTCTCTGAGGTTTACCTGCACACGGGCCAGAGTCGACTCCTGCACAGAGAGCTTCATCTGGAGCAGAAAGAACAAATGATATTAAGGTTTGGCAGGTCAGCCCATCTGTACGTTTATCTAGTGATAAAAAACAAGCACGGCTATTCTCAGCTGCTGTTCAGTCAATCTTTTACCTTCAGAGTCTGCAGCTCCGTCTCTTGGCTGTCTCGGAGAGTCTCCATCACTTTGTATTTCCCCTCCAAGTTGGTGAGCTCCTTCTGAAGAAAGTTCTTATCGCTCAAGACTTTCTCCAGCTCATCCTGGACTCCTGCCAACACCTGCAGCTTCCTCTCATACTCCCTAAAAACCCCAGAAGATAAAAGCAAAGTCAAGTTGTCAATGGTTAACACGACAATTTCAGGAGTAAAATTCGTAACTGAACGTTTATTTTCCAAATGAAATAGTCATCGTACCCGATCTGGCTCCTCTGTATCTGAAGCTCCTTCTCCACTTGCACAATTTTTCTTTGGCTCTGGGACACCGAGTCTTGGAGAACCTCATTTTCCTGATTCAGAGTCTTCAATTTTATTTGGTAGTTACGGACCTTATCCTCCATGTCGCTGACCTTGCCCTTCAGATCCCAAGGGTTTCGTTTTTGTGTTCCACCTGTACACAAACGCAACATTTTCAATTTGTTTTTTTCTGGTCTGTTAAGAAAAACTATTCTACAGAAGCAACCTTTAAACTTCAAATGCATAAAGATGAACCAGTGACAGCTGAATTCCATTTACGTGCTTCATGTTTATGGTCGTGTTTGCACAAACTCACTCAGAATCGTGGCTTATTTCAATGTACTGGGTCACTTTTTGCACACTTTGAAACATTTTCAAAAGCATTTAAAATTTATTGAGCGTTATTAACAAATCGAAGCCCCAAAATATAAACGTTTAGTTGTCAGAAGAAATGAAATTAGCAGAATTCATTTCTCACCTGTTTTTGTGCCGGTGGATGCAACGGGTTGTTTCATGTTGCCTCCCTTTGATGCAGTTGAAGCTACAGACTGCTTAACGACACCTAAACAGTAAACAGATGCATTAAATGATCACATGTTCATCTGGGACCAAACTACATACAAGATATGACACTGTCCATGAACAAATTTGATTAAACTTTAAACTGCTTAATCACTGCTCCAGATGAAGGTTTGTGACCACAGTGTCTCAAGTCCTGCCACATATTTAGCATTTCTTACCTCTAGACGGAGCCGCAGCTACAGTGGCAGCTCCTACAGCTCTGAGTGGCCTAGCTGTGTTGGAGAGAGTGAAACAAAGGGGATTTTTTTCTCAATGTTACGAGGGGAGAGGCGCACTATATACTGTGTGAACATGTTTTTTTCTCTGTTTTTTTTAAATAAAGTTAATGCAGTTTTACTTTTTGACTGGTTTAGTTTGGGGACAGCCTTTTAATGAAGTGCTTTACTGAGATAAAGTAGTTCTCCGACATAAACCAATGTAGTTTGGAGTAAAACAAAAAGATTTCAACACTCGGGATTGAGACGTTACTTACAGATAGGTGCTCGGGTTGCTGCGAGAGCAGGTCGCTTGGTACCAATGACCGTAGTCGCTGGTTTAACCGGATCTGCATCCTTACGGAGTCTCTTCTGCAAAACAAAAGACCATTAGCATACAGTGAGAACAAAGCTGAGTCTTGCGCAGGTTTCAGGGTAAACCCCCCCCCAAATGCACATTTGCCACACAAAATCCATCACATGGGATAGATGTCCCAGAAGAGCTTCCATGCTGAAGTACCACAACAAGAACGCCTTTATATCACAAACCCTGCAGCTGCTGTATTGCAACAATAAGAAGAAATTTGGTTTACCATCTAAACCTTTTCAGGCAAAGCAGCATGGCCAGCTCTGGTTTACTAGCCTTCTAAGATACCTGCTTGTGCATGTGAGGATGTCTCACCTCCAGCAAAAATTAAACTCACAAATACTTAACAGTAATCTAAAAGTCAGACAGTAGCAGTAAAAAGGTAAACAGAAGGGTTTACACAAACCTGTGCAGGTGCCAAGTCCTGGGCATTCTCCGCGAGTACCCTCTTACTTGACATTACTGGCAGGCGGGACATGCTCTGTTGTGGGCTAAGAGGTGAATTATTGTTAAAACAGATACAAAGAAAAAAAAAACTTGTTTATTTCTTCATCATGAACAGCCATGTTTTCCTCACTTCAAAGCTGTACTGCCACTCAATAAATCATTTTGCGTTTAAAACCCACTCGACATTTTAACACTGTCCTCTGTATTAAAAAAAAAACAAAAACGTAGTAATCCTTCGTCAAAGGAGCTTGCAAAGAAAAGCGTCTGGACTTCTTTAAGTTCTTCTTCGTGTTACCCGAGTTGCAGTTGTATTTACCATTAAGCACACCAAGAACAACAACAGTCACTTGCATATCACGTGCCACATTTATTTTGACAAGACAGTAACAACGTGGTAAAGCCAGGTTTTATTAAGTAGCTGTTAAAATAACGTTGGCGTCTCCGATGAGACTTGGGTGTACCAGTAACCAATACAATGGAGACAAACTAGGGTGTTGCACGGTGATCCACACCTGCTTGGACATAACACTCATATAAAAGTGCCTGCTAATAATGAAAATCAATCACACGAAAACGTAATATTTACGTTTACAGTGAAAATCACACGAAAACGTATTATTTACGTTTACAGTGAAAATCACACGAAAACGTATTATTTACGTTTACAGTGAAAATCACACGATTTAGCGTTAAGTCAACTCAGATAAACTTAATAGACCCCTATAACAGAGGTCCGACTTTAGTAACTTACCGAGTATGATGTGAGCCTAAACAAAGCCACTGTGTCCACAGTTTTTAGCATTTACATTAACCAAACTTAACTTGCGTAATTATCGAGTTAAACCAAGATAGAAAATCTTACTGGGACACGCTAATTTTTAAATCAGCTTCGATTAAATTACATAAAGACATCACCGACACTAAACCCGTCCGTATGATCGCTAACGTTGACGGCAGATACCCTTAGTACGAAAAAGAACTTCTACATTAAATTACAAAACTTTGCTCTTACGGTTTAAGTCGTGTTCCGCAACACAAACTGCAGATTAAAACACACACTTCACTGTAATATATGAAACAATTACCTTATAAACAATTTCCGTGTCCGCGGGATCTCCGTCCTCGACCGTTTAAATTTGAATTGAACTACCTTGGTGAGCGTCTTGCCGTGATTGGCCGAGATAGCCCGAACCCCGCCCCGTACGTGTGTATGCGTGTTTTGGCTTTCGGACTTTTCTGCTTGGGCGGGATATACCCTGTTTGAATACTTGACTCCAGTGCTAAAGGCCAAATTCTAACTGACTTATGATCAAACGAAACAATTAAAAAAAAAAAAAAGTCGTATAATTTTGGTATATACGAATCGCTTTCTTTTTCAAGTACATTAATTAAATATATATATATAATTGTTATAATCCATTTTTTTTTAGCTACATTGTTTAAAATAAACATCATACGGTGGCCCGGAGGTGCAAAAGGCAACTGTTTGGGGGAAAAACGCGCATTGACTTATAATTCTTATCATTTCTATTCCAAAGCTTAAAACACATCTTAAAACGCCTGAAAGAAGTAGTGTAAAACATTAAATTACGTGCTTTGATATGGTTTGCTATGTTTACAGAAATATAATCTGTTCTTTTTAATTGTTTTGATAAATAATTGTTATGACAGAAACCTTTGGACTGCTTCTGGTAAGACACACGTACACTCTATAAAAATCCATGTGCAGTTTGTATATGCTTTCCTAGCGAAAGCATTGTTTTTCTATAAATGGAGCTAAAAGAAACACATCACGTTGTAGGTCTCGGTGTAGACAGTCTTCTAAGCATGTGAATCCTTTTCATACCATTGCTAAGCCTTTGCAGCATAGTCCACTGCAATTTCCAAACCACGTGGGGATGGTAGAATCACAGATTCCCTGAACCTGAATCAAAAATTCAACTTCATTAGTTTTGAGAATAATACCCCCTGATCTTTACCCTGGGTATCTAGGATACACTGACCACGTGGAGCTGCATGCTGTAGCAAAAGAGCAGCCAAAACTTTCATTATAAATGTTCATTAATAATATGTACTGTTGATTTTAATAAAATACCAATAAAAAATGTAGTGCTTTCATCATAAACAGGTTTTGAACTTTATTCTCCATAAGGGAAGAAACAGTCTGTTCAGATGAGCAAGAGGTGTAACTGTGCATACAGTATGAAGAGTGTAGCATAAGAGGGCAGTTAACTGTATTATCAGGAGCATTGGTAATAACATTAACAAGAATATTGAGAATGGGTTATTTCTCATAAAAAGACACAATGAAATACAAGGAGTATACATGGAGACAATCAGCCGTCTGTATGGGCATCCTGAACATTTCTGATTGGTTAGAGACGGCGTGTGCGGTGTCCCAGGTCACCAAGGTCACAGCTTCTCATAATCATGCTTTAATTATTTGCAGATGTATCATGGATACGTTAGTTTTAAATATCATATGGTTACAGTATTAACATGGTTCTCTGAGTAATTGAGACCATTTTTTCCCATAAGTTCAGGAATCAATCCCCAACAGTAAACTTAGCACAACAACACCTGTACAGATGTGGAATTACCTATTTTAGCCAAACTGCACCTCTGGGAAGCCTCAGTGGTCCCTGTTTATAATGTATTAGGGATCCACCAATATTGGTACATATTCACCATCAATGTCACTGGGATACTGATAAATATGAGATTTGGCTAATTATCTGTTGTGTTACAATTATATGACTGAGTAATTGGGAATGGGAATAATTTAGGAGACTTGAGAATGCCATTTTAGCTCATTGATAATTAAGTTATTTTCATTTCCTTAGTACAAAACTTGTTACTTTAAAAATCTGTATAAATTCATCCACACTGTTGCCCCAATTTCCATTAGTCCAGGGAACAATACTCAAGTCCTGCCCTACAGTGAACCTATATAACAAAAGCACAAATGTGGAATTACAGATAGTTTTACCAAAGTGCTTCCCTTATGCCCAAAAATATTTTAAATGACTAATTAAAGTCCCTGCTAATTTTCTTCTTGCAATTCACTGATATTGGTACGATATTTGTGCCGTTGCCTGCCATTGGGATTAAGTTATGAGGACAGACTTTAGAAAAGTATTTATATGATTTAAAAGGCAGAGCTTTAGAGTTCACTGACATCAAAAGGGAACAAATAGATACATCCTAATTCTTTGCCTAATTATCACACATGAGGTTTAGTTGACTCATCTCTGGTTACGTCCTAATTAAGATCAGTTTCACAGTCTGTAGATGGTGGCTGTGGTTGTGATAAAGAAAACAATTATTCTCCTGTCATCTCCTCACTTTGCTGAGCGTGACGGTCTCACAGCCTGTCAGCTTTAAAGTTGACCTGGGACACTGCCAGTGATTTGGTACATGTTAATTTGATTTCCTTTAGTTTTCATAGATGCTTTACACAAGACATACTTCCCTTTTACAGATGAAAAAGTCTTTTCTATGTATTTTATGTACAGCATACTGCAATATCATAATGCCTCAGATTGATAATAATGTGGATAACATTTGCAATACAGTTATAATGGAAGTAGTAATAATATGTATGAAAAGTTCTTTAAAAAAAAAAGATTAATAACAGTACCTGTCAGCCATTTTCATCACACAATCATTATTTTCCCAACAACCATCCTGACAATAACAAACTGGGCTGCCTTAAGTCATTCGAGGACAGTAAACAGTTGAATAGCAACAAAAAAAAAGAAAAAAAAAGGGACCAAGACGTTCTGTTAGGACTTTTCTCTCTGTTCCATCACATTCATGCGCTCACGTTGCTTTCTGTTTGATCACACATTTCTCTGTTGGTAGAAAAATACATACATATGATATATAAAAAAAAGGTAAAGGATGAAAAACATAGGCGTGAAGTAAGTTTCATCAAGTGCTTTCGTTATGACCCCTCCCACCCCCGTTTTTCTCTCTTTCTGTCGTGGTTCCTGCTGCGGACTCCTTACATTTAGTGCATTCTCCGACCGATCGCGCTATCTTATTTAATACTTTGGGAAATGTTTCCTCGCTCCTCTGAGAGGAGGTGGGTGTAAATAAGGACATCATGATCTGTGAAATGTACACTTTTGAGATTCGGCTGCAGGCTTTAGCGAGACTTCCCAAACGCACGCTTCATTTTTCTTCCTGCTGCTCTTTCCTTTGTAGCTCCAATTCAGTGTTTCTGATGTAGTCTGTGACACCTGACTGTGCCTTTCAGATGCTGTTTAAACATTTCTGCACCGCTGCTTCAGATGCTCTCATGAATCTCTACAGTCTCCCATCATTCACTCCTTTTTTGTTTTGGCTTGAACTAATAAGTGATGAATGTTCAGATTAATGTGATCTGAATGTCTTCAACATTTACACTATTCTTTGGACCATAACTGCTCAAAGAATAGTGAAATTAGTTTTTTTAATTTTACAGATATTTTACACCTTTATCCTCCAAAGATCCCTCAGTCAGGACTGAGAGATACATGGCAAGTGGGCTCAGGAATCAAGAAGCAGACTGTAAAATATCTGTGTAAGTAATTTATGGTTGTACTCAGCATCAAAGCTTCTTAAGTGGGTGAATTCAAATTTACTTCTACCCATGATTGTATTGCATTACCCGACTAACCGCTTTTAAAAAATAATCTCACTGAAAGCTACAGAAGTCTAAACTGAATACACTAGTGTTTTTACACTTTCAAATTCAGTGATGTGTCAATAAAATAGAAGATCTGAATTATAGAAATTCACCCAATCAGCTGTTTTTCCCTTGATTTTAAGAAGGCTCTAATACTGAATACAGTTAAATTACTTGTACATATGGACCATTTTTACTCGACTAATCCCTCGAGCAGAGCAGGAAGACGCAGCCTATGAGTTCATGTGCTCCACCTGTATGGCTGATGTGGAGACGGTTAGGCAGAGGTCTTTGTGGGTCACTGGCAGGTCTGCCACAGTGACTGGTTTGTACTGGATCTCGCTGGCTGACACTGTCTTGTACTGGTGTAGATCAAATGGGCAGGGGACCACAGATTCTGTGGGTTGCTGTTGTGGCTGGTAGCTGCCTGGGGGTCCGGGGTTTGGGTTCTGGTTGTTGTTAGGGTTCGTCTGGTTTTGGAGCTGGCTCGCTCTGCCCGCACCTCTCCCTCGACCGCGGCCTCGGCCCCTGCCTGGTGTCAGACCCTGGGCCTGCTGAGCAGCTACTGTTGCTGCCACTGTTAATGGGTCGGGGTTGTGCTTCTTCATGTGTTTCATTAGATACGTCTCCTGGAGAACGGATGACAGAAGTAGAACACATGATGTCAGGAAAGATAAACAGGAACAATGTGTTTTGATTTTTTTTTAAACTATTAATATAGCTTTGTGGTTGTATGGCATCACTAACCAGCCATTTAACCCTCTCAAGGCAGGGGTTGCCGATTGGCAACAGTTAAAAACTAACAACCTCATTACCCCACATACATATTTTATGAGGTTTTTTTTACTCAGAAGTACCACTGCAGGACTTGGTTGTGCATTAGCAACAAAAAGTTTAATTTGAGCCTGAGAGCGTTAATATTTATAGTGAATGATTTTTGAGTTAATGAGTTTTGCTGCTGGGCAGAAAAGTGCTGCAAAACATCTGGATGTGAAAGTGAAGCTAATCTTTTTTTAGCTTTTGGGTAAATAATTTAATCCACATTAGACATTTGTGCCATCTGAAGACTAAATGAACGTTTGTGTTCAATCTGAAGAAATATCCTTCACACACTCCCAAAATATCTATGAACAACTAGGGCTGAGCCATATCATACCGTTCACGGTAATACCGGTATGATGTTGGGCAACTATAAGAAAATGAAATATCACGATAGAATATGGGTAAAACGCACATGTGCAGTGTCTTTGTTTACATACGCACATGGCGGCGACGGAGAATAAGAAGGGCGAAAGCGGATCGTTGAATGAAACGGATGAACCAGAATTGGTTTGTAAAAATGCTGCAACTTCAGTGGTGTGGAACTGGTTTAGCTTTCGTCCGTCAGATACACAACAAAGCACTATTTTTGGTAGAGCATGCTAGCGGGCCGTCGTTATTACCGTGTTTTTTGGAAAATACGGCACACTTAAAATCAATCCTTGGATTTTTGTGAAAATCGACAGTGCCCCTTATAATCCCGTGTGCCTTATGTATGAATTCTGGTTGTGTTTACTGACCTCGAAACGATTTTATATACACGGCGCTTGAAAATCTGTCAAATGTTTCAGTACGACTTTGCTAAGCTACGAAGCCGCACCGCTTGATGGATTGTCGGAGCATTACGGCTATCGTAGGCAGGAGCCTCGCGGAGTGATACGTGCTGTGCTTCAACATAATATTACGGTATTGTGTGTGTATAACCTGTTTTTAAGTTTTGTGGATATTATACATGGTTATGCTGAGGATATGTCGGCCAGTTTCCACTGGAAATGCCTTTTGGTTAAACTGTCAGCGAGGAATTTGCATTTGCACTGTTAAATTTTTATATAACTTTAATGCACATAAAAAACAGCTGCTTGTTTAAGTGAAAATACATTGATTTTTTTATTATTATTTTTTTGCACAAATAAAGTTGTGGACTTGTAAAGTATTTTGTCTAGTGTCAATTATATCGTCACTTATATCGTTATCGCAAATTTTCAAATGTATATTGTGATAAATATTGTTGGTCATATCGCCCTGCTCTATGAACAACCCAAAGACACAATGCCTGTGCCCATTGATGATGTATGTGCATAATTATATAATTACTAGATACATTAACAGTACCAGCTGCTATACAGCATCTGGCTTAAACTGCACGAACAATGATTTTGGCAGAGAGGGATGATCAGTGCTTTGCAGTAATAATCATTATATTATTCTATTCTAAGACCCGAGATCAGAACAAAAGGCTCATTAGAGCTCTACATATAATGCATGTCAGACAGACTTATGGATTGTAAACAATAGTGTATTAACAGTAAAGCATCTGCAAACCAGCAGTACAATTCCTGCCAACTCTCTCCTGTTACGTCTTCTCTGTTGCAGTACAACCAAATCTACACTTTCAGTAAACTGCATGTCAGATACCAGAAGTCTTACCGAGGTATAGGATCGGTTGCAGAGGCCACAGGAGAACAGCTTGGCGTGTTTCACGGTGTGTGTGGACAGGTGAACCTCTAGACTGGCAGCATCTGTGTAACCACGGTTACAGTTGTGGCACTTGTACGGCTTGTCTTTGTTATGCTGCCGACGGTGAGACTGTGATGGAAAAATAAATAAATAAAAGAGGCATGTAAAAACTAGTAATATGTAATTTGATCTTGACTACAATAGAAAAGGCAAGAAAATCACTGTTTTCAGACTAGAGTCCGGCTGATATATCAGGCAATATTTGCTAAAATATCAGCATCGGGATTAAAGCTGATAAATGAAAATTAAAAAGGAGACATTAGTAATTCATGACCTGTGACAATAAAACATAATTATTTTTAAACTTCACTGTCCCATTATCTCAGGAAAGCCTGATAATTAACTTCATATAACAATTGTTAGGGAGACCTGTTTGTGCTTTATATGTCTCTCAAAAAAAATATTGGCCAACATGTTGAATTTTTCAATCTCTTTTTAATTATTAACAATGAAAAATGATCCAAAATAAAATTTCTGTGAAAAAAAAGGTAAGCATCAACATATCTACTACTCCATCACACTTGGTTGTACATTTTGTCTACAAAACCCAACCTGTGGAACCTGGATGAGTATGAGAACCACTGGCTTGCAAGTAAATATATGCTAGGAGCACTAGAGCCTTAGTAAAGTAATGATCATGTCAGTGGCAAAGAGAAAACCTGTGGATTCAGTACCTGGAGGTTGGACAACTGAGTGAAAGCTTTTTCACAGCCAGGATGATTACACTTGTACGGCCGGTCACCGGTGTGAATCCTGGGAAATCACAGTCAAAACAAAACAAAGGTGATGTCAAGTTTGACGTACTGACAAAGTTAAGATACTTCTAGATCAGCTCAGCCCCTCGCTTCCTCATGTTGCAGTTTCTCAAACTTCTACTTTCACTTCCTCGAGAAGGAAACGGCTTTGGTAAATTTGAATAGTGTGACCTTTGGTTGCTATTTGTGCACTTTAAAATCACATCCTTTTTTTCCAGCACATTTTATCATGAAGTGTCTTGATGCATGCTCAATCATCCAGGTAAGAAAATCCCAAAAAGTCGATTCTGTTCATGTGGACGTAGCGTTTTCAGTGGGAGGAATGTTTCGTCACTAATCCAAACAACAAAACGTTTCTCTTTTTTGGGATTTTGTGATGAAGCAATAAGCTATGAAATAAAGTTTTATAACAGATAAACTAGGCTGCTAATACATGCCAGTGATCACACATCAACCACATTCTTCTGTCCTTTCAGGTGGTAGTGCCTAGCTTTGTAACAGCCTTTCGCCTTCCATTAGGTTGAGCTAATCTGTGGTTTGATTGTTTCTATCATCCGCTGAAAACTATTTTTTATGGGTCACTCACCCTTAACGTTTGAATCTGGTTTACACCTCAGTGTATGTTTGTAGTAAAACATAAATATGGATTATTTTGAACTTTGAGGCATGCCGAGCTACTCCAGTAGCATCTAAGAGTTAAAATATGGAAGTGGGCAGAACAGATCCATCTTATAAAAGAAAAAAAGTACATGTCAGATTTGATAGATACTATAAACACACAATAACTCAAAAAGAAGGACACAAGCACAGTGACATAACTCTCCATGCACCTGCTCCCATACATGCACACATTCAAAACCCGCCCGGCCCAGCCCAGCTCGGCCCAGTACCGTGTGTGCTGCTGTAGGTGACTGAGCTGCCTGAATGTTTTCTGGCAGTAGGAGCAGGTGTAGGGCTTGGCCCCGGTGTGGATGCGGATGTGCTGGGACAGGTAGCTGGAGTTGGCAAACGACTTGGAGCAGTGGGGACACTTGTGGGGCTTGGCCTCAGTGTGGTTTCTAACACGGGAAACCGGGATTGGAGGGTTAAGGGGGTGGGAGGGAGAGAGAAACACAGAGAGAGAGAGAAACAGCGAGAGATTTTTAAGCTACAGCATGACCAAACTTCATAATGAACCGAAGACCAAATCATGCATTTAAGCTAAAAGGATCTGATCGATCAAGTATTGATCACAGATTACTAAGTTTGACAGTGTGCTCTTTGTGCTGTGTCTGAGTTGTGAAAACACAGAACGAAACATACAGCAAGCACAGTCACGCTTTTCTCTTTCTCTCTCTCTCTCTCTCTCTCTCTCTCTCGCAGTCTCTCTCTCCTTTTGGTGTGCACTACTTTGAGTGAAGTGTGAGTGTAGTGTATCTATGAATGTCTGAGTCTGCTGCAGTCAAACCAAAATGTAAATTCAAGATGAGTGCCAGGCCGGCGGAGGACATCTTCCTCTTTAAAATTAATGGCCTGAAACCCACAGAGAAAACCCAGTGCATGGAAATGAGGGAAATGAAAGCATGAAGGTGAATGACAAGGTCAACATAAAATTAACACATTTATCAGAAAGGTGACAGCCTGGATGGGAGATAGATTTATCACTCATATTGTCACAATTAATGAAATATAGTAAAATGAAAACTAATTTTAGTGTCCGATTAGCGCCTTTACCACAGTAAAAAGGGGTGTAAAACATGCAGGTTAAAAACTGTATATCAGGATGTATTTTTTAGGCACAGCACGTACAGTGGGTATGCAAAGTGTACTTAGACTTGCATCGTGCATTCTTATAAAATGTTTTGGAGTTTTTATCTTGCTGAGAATGAAAGGAAAATGTTTTAATAAAGACATCAGAATAACAGAGACATCTAGAGAAGATGCTGAAACAAAACAAAAAGGGGATGCCTATTTTGGTGAAACCTGAGTGACAGACGGGTGTGTTGGTGAGAAAAGGCATTTAAATATAACTCAATCATCCTGTCTCACTTACTGCTGGAATACAGAGTATCTGAATCTCTGCATATATAAGGAAACAAATGACATTAATCTGACTAAAGCCTGGGTTATACTCCAGTTCAGACATGGACAAATGGAGACCTGGTGCATTTGAACTTGTTTTTTCTCTTGTTTAAATTACTAGTAAATTACTTGCCAGGGAAAAAAATACTTTGACTGAATGCTGGAAGAATTAAGGAATTTCAGTAGTAGTATGCCATGTGATTGGCTGATTAAATATTTGTGTTAACAAGTGGTTGAACAGGTATATCTAATATAGGAATATGGATATGTTGCCCACATACCTGATGAACCTCAGGTAGCCATTGTAACTTAATAAATATTGCAGCTGTAAGTGAGACTGTGTAGGAGTTGTATTTAATTACCTTTAGATACTGACTCAGGGTCCCAGTTTTTAGAAAAGAATGAATGGTCAAAGACAAGTACTTAAAAATAACAGGTTAAGAGGCATGAAATAATTTAAGTTTTGGGGACTTTCAAAGATGATACTTTGACTGTGCAGAAAGAGCTTTACACTGTCAGCACTCCCCAAAACAACCCAGACAAGTCCCAAGCTCACCACTCCTTCTTCCCTTTATCTATCACCACACAGATGTTCACATGCACACATTTTAACACACGCACACACTCAGGCCCAGTACCGTGTGTGCTGCTGTAGGTGACTGAGCTGCCTGAATGTTTTCTGGCAGTACGTGCAGGTGTAGGGCTTGGCCCCGCTGTGTATACGAATGTGCTGGGACAGGTAGCTGGAGTTGGCAAACGACTTGGAGCAGTGGGGGCACTTGTGGGGCTTGGCCTCGGTATGGGACTTGGCGTGGATCTGCATGTCTGACTTGCTGAAGAACGTCACTGCGCACATCCGACACCTTGGCAGGCAAGGAATGAGAGGAGAAGAGAAGAAAACAGTTATGATAAACAAAGCACAGAAAAAACTGCAAGTATCTAAATAATATTTTCCTAAACTTAAAGCACTTTATCCTACCTGTAAGATTTGGGTCCGTCTTTGTTAGTGTGATCATCCTCATCATTTGACAGATCATATGGGTCGCCACCGTGATGCTACAATACAATAATAAAAAAAGTACTTATGGTTGTGAAGGTAAAATGCCTCATAGTTGGTTTTATAAAAGGAAACAAGGAAAAAAGAAAGAACATAGAAAATTCACCTGTCCACCAGCAGCAAGGTGTGCCAGTATTAATGCATCACTTCCTGGAGGGAGGACCCCACCCACTCCAGCCACCCTGCTCATCACCTGTTTGCTTTTCCTGCCTCGTTTTGATGGTGCCGGCATGACAACAGCAGGAGCAATGTCATCCTTCTTATCTAAAAATGAGAGAAAATTGAGAAAGAAAGAAGGGAAAGGAAACAGGGAGTGTTGAGTGAAAACAGGGACAGTTTGGAAAAATTATGATGCACAGCTCAACACCAAACCTTACATAAGACAGATACACAGATGTGTTTGATTGTGTATGGATGTAACAGTGCAATTGCAAGAATACATTTAGGTGGGAACAGGAATCAAGTGTATAAAATAAAATGGTAAAAAGAAGCCCTGAGCCTCATCATTTTTTTACGTTGAAATTATTAAAATGATGGTGACCTGCACCTGTGTATTACCTGAATTTGAGGGGTGCATTGCAGACACTATCATGGTGGTGGCAGTGGGGTGTCCAGCTACAAAAGACTGCGTGGAGGCGGTGGGGACCAGTGTGCCTTGTGGGGTGGTGATCACTAACCCCGCTAAGAGGAAAAGAAAAACTGTGATCTGGCCGTCCAGATCTCACTCTGTTAGGCTTTTGTTCTAACTAACAGTTAATGGATGATGTAGTGATAAAAGAACTTTAATTTTCAACCTTGCAACTTGAAAGCCACACAATATCTTATAAAGGACAAAGCTACAGCACTAACACAAGACTTGCTAAGGTTTATACAAAAGATTTTAACGAATATTTTTAACCCTTGTGTGGTGTTCGTATTTTTGTTACTCAGCCAGTGTTCATGGGTCTGGTGGACCCGCTAGAGTTTTGGCTTTCCAAATTAACACTATCAAACAATTTTATGTTAAATTACTCAACAGATGTTTACTTCATCCCAATTACAAGACATATGAACAGCAAACATGGTTAATTTTTTCCCTTTACCTTTGTTAGATCACATTTATGAATTAATGTGCTTCTCGTTTTTCTTTTATATAAAATGTTATAAATAAATCAGTTATAATCAAGTGGAGTGAGTGGAAAGACACAACACATTTACACGTGAAAAAATAATTAATTGTTTAATTTTTCTTTTGAAAAAAACTGAACACGGGTCTCACAGACCCGAACACCATACAAGGGTTAAACAAGCTGTGCATAAAAAAGGGATAAAACTGCTAATATTAACACTAAGTACTACTACTAACACCTAAATGGAAACTGAAAAAGAACCCTGTTGAGATTGTGATTAGTAGCCACTGTAGATTAATATGTACAGTGTCATTCACTCCTATGCACATATCTTGTGACACCAACAAATATGGGTAGAGTTCAAAAAGTTCTGGAAAGAGTTCTATAAAAACCAAAGACCTTACCTGGTTTAAATTTGGCTGAACTCCCATTTGAGATCATCTTTTATGGGATCTGCAGACAGCTTCCAACATGGCTGCTCTTTTTGTATTGCTCTCATTCTGGTTATTTACACGGTATGCACTGTGTATAACCGCAGGAAATCAAACTGTGTCAGCAAGCAAACATCAGTTTCAAGCTGATCAAGGTACATGCTTGGTGATGAGACCTGGGTCCAAGCAGCCCACAGCCAACCGGTTTTTATACGAGTCCACAGTTCCAAGTATGTCTGATGAGGAGTGAGACCACGAGCAAGCCTGGTGTGTTTTTAAACATACGCACCATGATATCGTTCTCCAGGGTAAGACATGATGAGTGTCTCCACTGTGATGTGTCTGGCACACTTTTAAAGCATTTCAGAAACAACACATTTAGTATGCCTGCTGGGTTTTATTTTAAAAACTGACTAACTTTCAACTCTGTTCCTTTGTCTGTTACTTCCTGCCCTTCTCCTATGCTCTGTGCTGCTACATGTTGCTTCTGTAAATAAAAAAAGAACTGTTCGCTTTTTCTAGAGCAACTTCTGATGGAATTGCTACCATTGTCTCGAGTGGGTGTCAGGAAGCAGCCGTGCCTGCTGCACTCCCAGGATGAGTCTGTTAATGTGAAGTTCCAATATGACATCCTGAGGAGTCTGATGAAAAACATAAAAGTGCAAACAACATGATCTGTGGTGCGTGTCATCACGTCATCGCGTACTGTTTGATGGGGCCAGGTTTTGGGCCAGTATTGGGAATCTGAAGAACACCTGCATCCCAAACTTTTTTCAAATGACTGAGCATAACATAGCAGATTTTTGACCGTCTAGCTTCACCTGGGGACATTTACATGTTCTCACTGCCATTTCCTTTTTAAAAGAGGTGCACACACTGCTGTAGTTAATTTTAGCTTCATGTTTCTCACATTAAATGGTAAATGGCCTGTATTTGTATAGCGCTTTACTTAGTCCCTATGGACCCCAAAGCGCTTTACACTACATTCAGTCATCCACCCATTCACACACACATTCACACACTGGTGATGGCAAGCTATATTGTAGCCACAGCAGCCCTGGGGCGCACTGACAGAGGCGAGGCTGCCGGACACTGGCGCCACCGGGCCCTCTGACCACCACCAGTAGGCAACAGGTGAATTGTCCTGCCCAAGGACACATTAGGACAGCATGATCTCATCTCATATGTTTCCCTTCAAAAACCATGGAGTTAGTAGCTTGTTTTTCTTCTAGTTTTTTTAATAATCACTTACAGACACCTTGCAGGTGCATTCATGCAGTCTTGTAGAATTATATTAAAATACTACCAGTTACTGCCATAAAGTAGGGAAAATATATATTTTAAAATTAAAATACATTTGGATGAGCTTTTCCTTTTTTTTTTTTTTTTTTTTTTTTTTTAAATGGTCTTTTAAAATTTCTGTAACACTGAAGCACACATGCAAACAGACATAACAGGGATGCCACCAAGATCAAGCAAACATCCAGAGGTGCACAAGAAGATGATCTTGAACAGGAGACTGGCCAAATTTAAATCAGGCAAGTTTTTTTAATAGACCTTTTCAGAGAATTTTTCTTTCACATTTGCAAAATAAGAAAAAAGACAAACTGGAAAATCATCTATGACTCAGGTTGGTGAAAACATCAGAGCTGCTCACTCACCTGCAGTCATGATACCCGTGGAGGGAACAGGCACAACGGTGACGTTCTGGGAAGTGTGCGACTGGTGCAGGTGTGCCCCCACCGCACTCAGGGGTCCGCTATTGCTGTTTCCACCACCACCCCCTCCTACATTGCCTCCGCCTCCTTCCTGTTTAGGGATCACACGTACCCCAGCCGCTCCATCCACTGAGCTGGGGATGGCGAGTACGGCCGTGGGGTAGTGGGGGGAGGAAGTGGAAGACGCAGAAGAGTGAGGAAAGGAGGGCGCACTGGCCTTCTCTGGACCTAGTTGCTCCTTCGCCTTGTTCAGGAACATGGCGTTCTCAATCTAGACAGAAGTGGGGAGTGGAGAGATGAAAGAAGGAAGGGTGTAGGAATTAGGGGGCAAAGGAGTGTGATACAGTAAGGGTGAAATGTTTCATGACGGTGGAAGGAAAAGGATATGAAATGAAGGAAGAAAGGGAAGAAGAAAGGAGACTTGCCAGAGATGAAGAAGGCAGATTGAAAGAGGAAATAGGATGCGGGTGTTTGGAAGAAGTTGAAAAAGAAATAAAAATACAAAAGACAGGAAGAAAGAGAAAGATGTGAAGAAGAGTCATATGTTTATGCGGGAAAAAAACAGGATGACCCAGAGATGACACAAGCAGAGTGGCGATAAACGTAGTGTGTGTCATGAAAGGAAAATGGAGAACAAATGAGACAGAAAATGAGAGGTTAACGACAGTAAAAACAGAAGGAATTAAAGAAGAATAAAGGAGGAAGGAATGGGAAGATTGGGGAGAGTGAAGGGTAGGAGTTAATGGGTTAGATAAGAGCAGACAGAGGAAGAGGAAGAAACAATGGAAGAGAAGAGAAAACGAAGGCATGGTGAGATGCAAAAAAAGCAAATGAAAACAGGAACAGAAGATTGAAAAGATGAGAGAGGAGAGGGACAGGAGTGATCATGTGAACCCATCAATAAGTCAAATAACTTCATCAACGTTGCCAGCATTATTTAGTGGTGTTAAAAACAACATGTTCAGGTTGTGATATAATCTTTAAAGTGCTTCTGGGTATTTTTTCCAACAGCACAGACCACTATACCATGTGTAATTCAAGACAATTCCAACAATAAGGTTGTGTCTACCTGTCCTTGTACAGTGGGGACGGGAGACCAAAAGTATGATGAGTTGAAATGGGAATCGTCCATTATTTCTGTAATTAAAAAGCAACACACTTAGAAAACACCTGTCCTGCTCCTCCTTTTTTCGTTTCTTTTCTTTTAAATGAGACCATGCATGGCTGTATTTCAGTCATCATTCAGTCCGGTTCCTTTCTTTCTCCTCCGCACGCTGACACACCGAACACGTCGGTTTCAGGATCAGCATGCAGCACTAAGACTAAATTTAGTCCACTAAATCGAGCCACTTTTCTACACAGCTAACCTTTGTTTTTAGGGATACCAATCAAGATGTCTGTGACAGATCTGAGCAGTTTAAGCTTACTCTGTTGTGGCTATTTCTTGAAATAATTAAGATTTGTACAGAGGAGGATGTGAAAGGAATCAGGCAAAGATGGTCAATCCCAGAAGGGATGGAAATCAAAAACCTCTATCTAGACCAGTGGTTCCAAATGCTGTGTCAAAGCATACTGATGTACCCTCTCAGCCCAGTAAACATTATAACTGAAACTGCACAAAAACATAGTAATTGAGATTTAATTTTCTCTATTATTCCACATTAAATACCCTTGGTTTTACAAAAAAGAACTGACAGGCAAGAGGATAACATTTAAGAGGAGATAACACTGATCTCTTTACTGTGTGGAATAAGTCAAACAAACTACCTAAAGAAACAAAAACTGTTATTAGAAATTACTTAAAAAACTGTCTGCAATTTGATGCGAGGAGATAAAAAAATGCTAAAACTGTACCTGCAAACTAAAAATTCCCTTCCTGAAGAAACACTGCCCCCTGTTAAAGAGCTTGGGATCTCAACCATATGCAGTGGGAACATTTGTTTGAATGTATGGAAGTGCCTGATAAGGCTATGGATCGCTGTTACATGCTTGCTGCAAAGCAACATACACATGCTCAAAAGCACCATTGTCACTGACCTCCTTCCAGATAACCTGTTTTCTGCAAACATAAATACAGGTCTTGAATTTGTCTTGCTTTTTACTTTTCTTTGACCACATAAAGTTTGAGAACCACTGGTGTAGAGGGCAGCAGAAGCAAGAATTAAGAAAACACTAATGATAATCAGTTTTTGAGAATTTAATGATTGTCTGTAACACAGCACATGCACTTGTTTACTACTCCCTAACACAGCATGAACAAATTGCACAATCTTAGAGTGCGTGTTTTATCAGCAGCATGTCAGTGAGGCTAGTTTTGCAACAAAATTGGATGTGGGTGCACCATTAGGTGAAAGTAACACCCTCTCCAAGAGTGCACACAGCTTCTTGACAGTTGAAAAAAACCCAAAATAAAAACCCACTGTCAATCTCATGAGTAATCAACCTGTAATCTTCCGTTTCCTGATTATGTCCCACTAACAGAGGCAAAGAAGGAAGTTTCATTGTTCTATGTTGGCATGCATTTGCACTTTATTTTAGCTTTCTGAAACATTTTGAGACCGTGAATGCCATGCATAATCCTGCTCACATACCATTAAAAGCATGCAAGTAATTACATGTTAGTAAAGCCCAACTGCCATTTAATAATTTATAACAACTGATATTCAGTAAGCCCCGCAAAGGAGTATGAGAGGCCCATAAAAAAAAATCACAATAACAATTGAGGTAACGCCATATTTCATGCATAACATTTGCAATGCATAACTCATGAAATGTTTTGCATTGTTTTTCATGAGCCTCCTCTCCCCTCTGCAACTGCAAGGTCTATAAATAAATGAAAAGAAATGCTTTCAATGCAATTTAATCATTTTCCCTGATTCTGCAGCAAAGCATCAGATGCAAGGGGCCGTTATTAGTGCAGTACAAAGTCAATGTTTCAGTGTTCTGAGAGACATTTGTTTCTTCCCCCCTTCTCTTTTTCTTTTGGACGAGAGGGTGCAAGCTGCCTCCAAAAACTGTGGCATGGCTAGCGCCGAGCTAACGTTAGCTGTGCTTTATGAATTATTGCAAAAACAAATTTGTCACAAATCGTTTAAGTCAGGGTGCTTTTTTGGAACTGAGTCTGGACAGATGTGTTAAACTGCACCCAACCGGCTGACAAGAGCGTAATAACATATCTGGGTTATGCACAAACATGGCTAACGTTAGCTGAAAAACGCAACAAGACGAGAGGAGCTAGCTAACTTGCCTCCATTAATTTTCTCCTTTTGTTCGCTGGGTTGCTCTAGCTACAAGGAGGCCTGTATATTCAATATGCTTAACTAGCCCGCCGCTTAGTAAACACAAACATCCGTGCTCTCCCTACGCCTCCATTCCTCACTCCCTGCTCATCTCGCTGAGAGAAAATAAAAAAAGAGAAAAAAAAAGTCTCGAATAAAAAAAAAAAAAAACGAAGACAGGAAAAAAAACGTCGACGCCGTTGCCTCTGTAGGAGACGCAGCTTCATGCAGACTTCCGGCGGTTGGGACGACGGTGCTCTCAGACACACTGAAAAAAACACTTAATTAACAACCGACTAATAAGTCCTGCGTTAATTACCGGTGAACTCGACTCCCCTTCAACCCCCCCGGAGCTTCCTCGGGTCGGGACAGTTGGAAAACTTTGTCCAAATCCGCCCCTCAAACCCCTCAGATATGCCTTTTTTTCTTCGTTTTTTCCTTTTTTTCCCTCCAGCTCTTCTCCGAGGAGTCAAGGCAGGCTGAGTTAAACAGCTTCCGGCCACACTCTTCAAAATAAAATCAAAGCGCGATTCTTTTAAAGTATATTTCTTTGTGTATTGCGTTTGATTAAAAGCGTAATAATCGATGTTAACACAATTAACTAAAACTAAACTAAAAGTAGGTGTAAAATATGACATTGTATGCACCGAAATAAAATGATTATTAATTATTTTTTAATTAAAAAAACGAATTTAAAACAATAGTGTTTAATCACAAAACCAGCAAAAAAGTATGTTTATAATTTTATCAAAAACAGCCTAATGAGGTTTTGGTGCTACATGACTTCGAGTCAATTGTCTTCAAAAATAGCCGTTTTGTATAAGAATATTTATTCAGAAACTATATCATTATTAACCACAAATAATGCCGAAAACTAATAAAACCAAACATACAAAAAAAACAAATACAATTTAAATCTAATCGACCAAAATCCACTCTGAAAACTCAGTGAAACTTAAGTGACCTGAAAACAAACGCCATATAATGTAAAAAGAAAAAAAGGGGTTCCGGTAGGAAAACCTTCTATACACAAGTCAAATAATATAAAACAAAAAAAACAAACTAATAATTGTGCAATAACTAACAGCCATTTACCCATATGTTTGCTCCGCTGAGAGTTTTGAATTAGACTTCCTGTACTGGTTTGGCGTTTTACCAGCTAACTTGACACACCTGCCAACGTCTATGCAGTATCTTCCGGTGTATTAATTATCCAGTCAGTGAGGACGTCGTATCAGTTTCTATGTATATTTCATTTCTGAATTAGCTGAATGGTTTTCTCATTTTGCACAACAGCTCTCAGGTTATGCGGACATGTGAGGCTATTAAAAGGTAATGAATGCTTGTACTTATAATATCCACGTCACTATAATTATTATCGCCCATTTAGCTTGAACTATGTCCATCATATAAAATGGACCTAAGCTACTTTTGTCAGCATTTATAATGCAAGGAAAGAACTCTAGTGTTTGTTGCAAGTTTAATTCCTGGCGCAACATCAGCAATTCATTCTTGGGAAAAGCACCATGTACCATGAGCATTTTACTGAAAGATCAATGACAATAAAATGATGATGAAAACGTTTATTGGGATCGCCGTATGCATGTGAAAATTGTTTATTATGCAGTGACAATTCAAGACCTCACAGATGGAAAAAAAAATAAAAACTGAAAAAAAGAAGCTAAAATCAGAAGTGTAAACAGGTGAGTAAAGAAAGACAGCAGTGGAACATTTGATAGCTACAATAAATCTTTTTTCACAAACAGTAAAGATTTAAGTCGTTTCCCCTTTTGCATTTAAATGACAAGGATTTTGTGTATAGAAGAGCAGAACGACATTTTCCTAAAGTACACGGAAGAAAAATAAAAAGCAAACATCCACTTTGGTCAAACATCACGAATGCAACACAACAGGGTCTGAAACATCACAGAAAACTAATAAACTGCCTAAAATACATTTATAATGAATTAGTCAAGCTGTTAGTGGTGATGCAAACAGTGCTCTACACTGATACTGTATCAAATATAAACTGTATAAACACATACACATACATATATATATCCATATTTAGTGCTGATCCAGTAACGAAAGCACACTTCCATATCTATAGCTGGGTAATCTCCTACTTTGGTAACTCCACAGTGAAGCTGCACACGCCTACTGTGTCCTGACTTCAAACATATGCATTTGCAATATTACTTTACAGTATAAGAGTGACAGGTGTTGATGCATGCATAATAACAGTAGCACTCATATATGAAAGAAATAAAATGTACCCTCAGGATACTTACAGCACGTATGGTTGTGCTGTAATCAGGAGTGCAGAGAAGTCACAAACAGTGTTTAGAGCTGAAGACAAAACTGCTCAGTTAAAACAAAACCATATATCCATCTTCAGTGTTTAAATCCCTTCTGATGTATTAAAACGTGTCCATAAAGATATTTTCCTAACTAGCCCCAGAGGGTAATGGTGAGGTAGAGGGATACAGTTTGATTGGGTGGTGACAAAAGGCAAATCAGGATACTTTACAGGTACTACCGTAATACTTTAGAGCTAGTATTACACCTTCAGTGGAATATAAAGCACAAACTACAGCAAGCAAACGTAAAGAAAAAATAAAGAACAGAACAGCAAACACCCCTGCCCTCACTTAACAATTGAAATATTTAGCTTCACATTACGCCAAAGCGTTATATACTAACAAATACTTAATATTATGAATACACAGGGATATTCTCATTGCTACTATGAAAAGCAAAGCTGTATTTCACACATTTAAATTTAGTCTGACTGGCTACACCTTTATGAGAGCTGCTACATAACTGCTATCACTAGGAACCACTTTACTTAAGATTTGTAGTACACATCATGTGTTAGTGGACTGCAGGGTGGTACAGACTTAAGGCAGTTGAAGCTCCTGGTTGGGAAAAACAGAATCCCATTTTGTTTCCTGTAGCTGATCTAAAGCTAATATCTCCAAGTCGAGGCTCAACAGGAAAAAAAAGACGATTCACCGGCGTATCAGTTTACAAATAAAGAATAATTAACTTAATTAACTTATTAAGTACCAAGGATCATAAAATATAAAACAGTAAAAAAAAGAAAAAGAAAGACAACACCTTTTAAAAACCCCATACATATTAACGCTGAAGTTTACAGATAATATCAGAAATATTCACCCTGAACCTTTATACACCAAATTTATTTCAGAAATACATGTAGAGAAAAGACTGATGGGTTAAAATGCATGTCAGTGAATATATGATAATATGCAATATTAGTAGGATTAGTAAATGAAGGTTTTGGTTGCATGTTTAAGCACATGCTCATGCTAAGAAGCACTTAAGGTTTGGCAGCAAGGCAATGCGGGGACACACACACACACACACACACACACACACACACACACACACACACACACACACACACACATACACACACACACACACACATACATACACACACACACACACACACACGTGAAGGAATTATCAATGGTAAACAGGAACACAGACAAAAGTGTGACATATAAACACAGAAAGGGACAAAGACAAAGATCAGTCATGTAAAACTCAAAAAGTAAGAAAGCTCATCAAACCATCATAGAATACATGAAATATGATTATATTATCCTCTGCTTCTTGTTACCTGTGACCCTGAACTGCATAAGCAGAAGGTAATACAAGGATGGATGGAGGCTAAACGAACGCAGTACCGCTAAGCACAAAGTCATAACACGAAATAACATTCGTAACTGTAATCAGACTATTTTCACAACAGAGAAACATCACAAACCAGCTGAACCAGCCACACAGCAGAATGACGCCGTGATGAGAGAATCATGCAGGGAATCCAGACAGCTGATTGGACACTGGGAGGAAGGACTGCCTGGTCATCACATGGCTGATTGTCTTCAGCCTGTATGAGAGGCCATCTACAGAAAGGAGAGATATGATATTATGATGTCAGCAGACTCCAGAGAATACACAGTCCTAGTCTTGTTAGACCTTACCTCAGCCTTTGATACAGTCAACCATACCATCCTGATAAACAGACTGAGAGACCTGGTTGGGATGTCTGGCTCTGTTCTAGACTGGTTTTCATTATATATATCTGAAAGGAGCTTTAGTCTGTCTGAAAACCAGATCATGTCGGAATCTACAGAGTTGTTGTGTGGAGTTCCTCAGGGCTCTGTGCTGGGACCTATTCTGTTTTTAATATACATTCTTCCTTTAAGCCAGATAATACAGCAGTTTCCTGAAGTATCTTATCATCGTTTTGCTGACGATATTCAGCTATATTATTCTTTTAAGCCTGCTGAAGCTCATAAGCTCTCCGATCTGATTGACTGTTTAACCAACATTAAACAACGGTTGAACAATAATTGCTTACAGCTAAACCCGGCCAAAACAGAAACTTTCATTATTGCACCAGGCAGTGCAATACCCGATATTAAACGGCGAATGGGTGACTTAGTTTCCTCACAGAAACATAACCTTAGAAACCTGGGTGTTATTTTTGATGAAGCTTTTTCTTTGGAGGGACATTTATATCAGATCATAAGAAGCTGCTTTTTTCACTTGAGGAACATTTCTAAACTTAGATCCATCGTGTCAACAAGTGAACTCGAGATGATAATACATGCTTTTATCTCTACAAGACTTGACTACTGTAACAGCCTGTTCACTTGTCTAAACATGAAAGGGCTAGCCCGCCTACAGGTTGTTCAAAACTCTGCAGCGAGGCTACTGACCCGCTCGAACAAGGGTGCTCATATGACCCCGGTTTTAAAGTCGCTGCACTGGCCAACAATCAGATTCAGGTTCCATTTTAAAATTCTAGTTTTAACTTTTAGAGCATTACAGAGACACCCCCCCCCTCCTCCCCCCTACATTGCTGATTGATTCATACACATACCTCCACTCGTCCCTTATTTCTACGGGGTTTGGACTCAGTGGAGACCTTCAAAAAGCAGCTAAAGACATTTTTATTTCAAAACGCTTTTAATTAGACCAGGGTTTTTATGATGTATTTTATGACTGTATTATGCTTTTACCTTGTAAAGCACTTTGTGACATATGTCTGTGAAAGGTGCTACATAAATAAACTTTACTTACTTAGAGAAAGGTGGATGTTTTAAAGTTTTGTGCTGAATTTAATTATTAATAATTAAATTTGATCGGTAGCAGGTATAAGCTGTAGATGCATGAGTGTAGGTAAGTGTAACATAAACCGAGTTACCTGGGAGATGTTTACGCCAGTCATTTTCTCCAGCGCCTCAGGCAGCTGGGTCATGATGTCCAGCACCTCTC